GAAACTGAGCAAACTCAGGGAGGCAGTGAAGGACAGGAAGGCCTGGCGCAATATGGTTCATGGGGTCACGAAGAGTCGGACACGACTTAACGACTGAACAACAACAACAAACTCAAAAAGCATTGTCCTACCCAATGGTATAAAACATGCATGCTTAGTATCAACAATGTAATGACAATATGCATGTAAGATCTGATGCAATAATCTAGAGCTTTCCTAACTATACTTTTAAGATGCTCAGATAAGCAATATTGCTACTCTTAGCCTTTTCATCTGTTTTTGTTATTTTCCTTTGTTAGCTTGCGAAAAGAGTAATAAATCTCGATTTAATTTCACCAAACTTTTCCAAAAGACAAGTCCCCTAATAGACTGGTGGGGCGGGTCTCATTGGTCAAGCAGATTGCTTTGAATGCACAACCAGGTAAAGGGAGATAGATAACAGACACTTTAAAAGCATGGCAAAAAATCTTGGAAAGCCTCCATCAGTCAAAAGATACCGCCTTTCCAAATGCGTTGGGCTATAGTGTCATCTGGAAGGAACCGGAAACTTCCTTATTTCGCGAGTGGACGGTCTCATTCAATGTAAAGGAAGTCTGTGTCCCCTGCATTTGTCCGGAAGGGACGAACACACGGCCAGCTCCGTTCGTCCTCTCAGCCAACTACAGACACATACTGTACAAACTGGCACTCCTTTGGCGCACCGCCATGGCACTTACTCCCACAAAAGCGCCTCTTCCTATCACTATCTCCCCGAGCGGCAGCGGGCACCCCCCGTCCACCGGCACTAACTGAAACCTAGACATGGTAACAAGCCTCTCGCGCTTCCCCCCGTAGCAAGATTCCACAAGGGGGAAGAAAAAGCAGGAACGTACTGTCTCTTCTTGTATGTACCCCTCCTATCTGCTGAACTGAGATATATCGTTCCGATGTAGCCAATAGCTCGCCGCCTTTTAAAAGAAACGCACACGTAACTGCGCCACAAACCCAGGACGGAAATTCCTGCCTCGCTATCAAACTACAGCTCCCAAAATGCTTGTCGGCAAAGGCGGGTGTTTCGAGAGCCTCTGATTACGTAACTGTGCAACAGGGAAGGAAAAAAGTAAATAAACAAATTCGAATGGATAAGCCGTTAAAACCGTTAGCGGAAACAAAGGGCCGGGAGCCAGGTGAGCAGCCTCGAGCCTCCTGCGTTACTCGGTGACGTTGCAATTGCGTATTCATCCAATCACTGAATAGGGCGGAGCTGGGGAGCCGGGCAGCTAAATAGCGGCGATAGGGGGCGCGAGGTGTTGCTTTCAGACTCTTTCGGGACAGAGGCGTCTCGAGAAGGTTGTGGAAACGTGATAAAGTACATTCCCGGGCGCAAATCGGGCGAATTCTTTTCAGTTTTGTAGAATTATATAGAGCTCCTGTGGAAAACACACAGGTGCCCTGTCATAACATCTAAGCTTCACCATAACTGTCGCATTTCCACCCACAAATAGCCCATTCTGTTTCAGCCTCTAGGTCCAACTGTGCATACAAAAAAGCGCTTACATATATCAGGATGGAGCTAATCAGTGTGTTTAATTTTACTGTGTTTTTTATTCTAATTCAATGCATGGAATTTTTATCTGAAGTGTATGTAAAAATGATGACTAATAATATTAAGTAAGGTTCAGTGCTTTAAAAATTTAGAAAGAATCCTCAAGATGTTGTTCAAGGTCACATAATTCCAATAGAGGTGAATATGTGTAGCTCAGGGTTGAACTGGAGTCCTTGGGGTTCTCTGAGCTTGGTTTTCTCTGAGCAAAGGTTACCACCAGGAAGGTTTGCATTCCCAATTGCTTTGCATTGAACCCAAAAGAAAATGTTTTAAAACCACCCAATTTTAGATCATAGGGAAGCAATTAGTAGGCCAGTGCTTCCTTAACGTCTTCAGTATTTTCTTTCTCACACTGCATTTAATATTAAAGATCTGCTTGTTTGGATGACTCTGCAAAACAACTGCCAAAGCTTTGTGTTACCTGGTGAACTGTATTTACATTTACTAAGACCTGCAATTTCTTAGTTTATTACTGAATAATTCAGCCTCTTTTCCCATGCTCCTGTACTCATGCTTTCTTTTTCTGGTTTTGAAACACCAGGTTACAACACAGTATCTCAGCCCCACCAGACATTCCACACTTCTGCAGGTTTTCCACCTTTCACAATCTTTAAGCATTATCTTTTGCATTAGTCATTTTAATTTTAATAAAAGGAATGCAATTACCTTCCAGGGCAAAAG